CCGCTGGAGTGGGCCACTCCGTCATCTACAGGTGAGACTCTGATGGGGGGAGGGCTGGGACTACTACTCCCTCAGCAGGCACTGACTGTAGCCCTTCCCACCAGGGCCACCTGAATACTTGCAGTTTCAATGTAGTCCCCTGCCCCAATCGCTGCCCTTCCAAGCTGAGCCGCCGTGATCTGCCTGCACACTTGCAGCACGACTGCCCCAAGCGGCGCCTCAAATGCGAGTTCTGTGGCTGTGACTTCAGTGGGGAGGCCTATGAGGTCAGTGGGGCCCAGCTGAGAGTGGAAGGGAGTGGGGCACTTGGCGGCCCAGGTATCCCTTAATTCAGCCTCTCTGACATTTCCAGAGCCATGAGGGCATGTGCCCCCAAGAGAGCGTGTACTGTGAGAACAAGTGTGGTGCCCGCATGATGCGGCGTCTGCTGGCCCAGCATGCCACCTCTGAGTGCCCCAAGCGCACCCAGCCTTGTGCCTACTGCAGCAAGGAGTTTGTCTTTGACACCATTCAGGTGAGGCCCTTCCTAAGCTGTGGGTTGTGGGGTGGTAACAAGGAGGCAGGCTACTGACTGTTTTTCTGGTCCCAGAGTCACCAGTACCAGTGCCCACGGCTGCCTGTGTCCTGCCCCAACCAGTGTGGTGTGGGCACTGTGGCTCGGGAGGACCTGGCAGGCCATTTGAAAGACAGCTGCAGCACCGCCTTGGTACTCTGCCCATTCAAAGATTCTGGCTGTAAACACAGGGTAAGAGTCCTCCTCCTTCCTGTCAGCTCCTCTTTAGCCCTTCAAGTCCTGGACAGGCTAGGTTTCCTGGCACAGTGAGGCCTTGGTGGGCTCTGCTCTGGAACCCTCATTTTTCCCCTGCTGGTCAGTTAGTTTCTGCTTGTTTCTAGCACCCTGTCTTCCTCATGCAGAGTTAGATGTCTACTCTTCCTCTCCATCTTCTCTCCCCTGGACCTTCCCCTTGTGGTAACTTCTCCATTCCCCCCATGGCCTGGGGCTTTACCAACAGTGCCCTAAGCTGGCAATGGCACGACACGTGGAGGAGAGTGTGAAGCCTCATCTGGCTATGATGTGTGCTCTGGTAAGCCGGCAGCGGCAGGAGCTGCAGGACCTTCGCAGAGAGCTGGAGGAGCTGTCAGTAGGCAGTGATGGTGTGCTCATCTGGAAGATTGGCAGCTATGGGCGGCGACTACAGGAGGCCAAGGCCAAGCCCAACCTTGAGTGCTTCAGCCCAGCTTTCTACACACATAAGTATGGTTACAAGCTGCAGGTGTCTGCATTCCTCAATGGCAACGGCAGTGGCGAGGGCACACATCTCTCGCTGTACATTCGTGTACTGCCAGGTGCCTTTGACAATCTCCTTGAGTGGCCCTTTGCCCGACGTGTCACTTTCTCCCTGCTGGATCAGAGCGACCCTGGGCTGGCCAAGCCACAGCATGTCACTGAAACCTTCCACCCTGACCCAAACTGGAAGAATTTCCAAAAACCTGGCACTTGGAGAGGCTCCCTGGATGAGAGTTCTCTGGGTTTTGGATACCCCAAGTTCATCTCCCATCAAGACATCCGAAAGCGAAACTATGTGCGAGATGATGCTGTCTTCATCCGTGCCTCTGTTGAACTGCCCCGGAAGATCCTCAGCTGAGTGCAGAGCTGGGGAGCTCAAGGGGTATAAGGGATAGGAATGACCTCAGTCAGGCACTGGCCGAAACTGGAGAGGGGGCTGGCCCCCCTTTCTGCTACTTCTGCCTAGGTTCTGTTACCCTGTTCTTCCCCTACCACCACCCTCAGGTGCCTCCAATCGGTGCTTCATCCCTGATCCCTGGAGGGAGCAGGTCTCGGGATTATCAAGGGCTGGAAACAAGTGATCCCCAGGGCCTGTCTCCCCTCCTGGGCAGGGCAGACATGCCTTGGTGCCAGCCACATTCTACCTGGACTGAGGCACCTGCTCAGGTGCTATGTCCCAAGAGCCATAGGGGGGAGTTGGGAAATGGAGGGGTAGTTAAAAGAATCTGCCTTGAGATTAATTTTTCTTCCCCTTTCTCCAGCTGTGGCCTTTCTGGTTATTTATTTCTTTAGTGCTAGGAGGTCACAGCAGGGGAGCTCTGATTTTTAATAAACCCTGAGTTGTATTTATTAACTTTGTGCCAGCCTATCTCCTCTGGATTGGTTTGGGACCTGGGAGGCTGGACCCAAGTGAAGGCTAAGGAGCCTTTGAAGAACTCTACACCAAGATCTGATCTACTATAGTCCCAAGATCCAGCTGCCCTAGTGTTACACTCTAGTGGCCTTCAGCGAAACTGCAGCAGGCTTTGTGTGGAAGTTGCTGGCTGCTGCCCTCTGGTGCTTTGATGGAACAGGTGCAGACCCTGCCTGTCTTAGAAGATTGGAGTCCCTCCTGTCCATCCTTCAAAGGATAGTGTTCTGCTCTAGATAGATCATTCTTCGTCAGTAACTACTATTCATCAGATGCCTTCTTGTGGTAAACAGTGCTAAGCACTTATTTTTGCCAGTCCTGGAACTTGAACTTAAAGCCTGGGCACTGTCTTTGAGCTTCTTTCTGCTTAAGGCTAGCACTCTTGAGCCAAAGTGCCACTTCTGGCTTTTTATGTTTATGTGGTACTGAGGAATCAAACCTAGGCTTCATGCTTGCTAGGCAAGCCCTCTACCACTAAACCACATTCCCAGCCCCTGCTAAGCACTTTTATTGCAGTATTTCCTTTAATACAAGCGAAGTAGCTTCTGCCATCATAAGACCTTATTTAAGTGAAGTGAGATGTTACAGACATAAGTGCAAATGGATGTTAATCTAATCCAAAACTCAGTCTACCCAGGCACTAAACTTAGTAAAAAGGGCCTTTGGCTTCAAGGTATATAAGAAACTGTTTTTTTACCCTCATCCTTATCTCATTTGCCTTCCACAAGCTTAAATGGGTGCCTATGATTACTCACATTTTGTCAGTTAACTGAACAGAAGTGAGTTGACTTATCAGTGTTCCCTCACCTGGTTTTGGGTAGGGCCTCTGCTCCGTACCTCCTCCCCCCCTCCCAAGGTATCCAATCTAGGGCCTTGCATTTGCTGTGTACATGGTTGTACTGTTACAGCCTCAGCTCTGGGATTTGCCTTTTGTGCCAGTCCTCAGCCTGGCAGATGTTTTGCTCATGACTAGCATTCTACAACTCCCCATCCCTACCACTCAGCTTAACCTGGCCCTCATGCCAATATGCCAATAATTTGTGGAACCTAGGCTAGGCTCTGAGTATGAGCTGATATTCCCATGAACCTAACTCAGCCCAGGAATCACTAGTTTGACTCACTTGTTGACTTAGTTCCTGTGATGTTGGATGGGTTGTAGGTCTTTTGTCCAGGTACCAGGGTGTAAACTCAGGAATTCATGTGATCAGATTTTCAGCTCACAGCTGGTACTCTCAGCTATACCTCCATTCTTTTACTAATTAGACATGGAATCTTAGACTTTTCTGCTTGGGCTGACTTCAAACTTCAATCTTCCAAGTGTTAGCCTCTTAAGCAGCTAAAATTATAGGTCTGTCTTATTTGAAAGCTTAGGATGGCAGGAATAAAGGAAATAGGCTCACAGAGAATGGCAAGCTGAGGAGGGAAGGGTGGCTTTTTTTGGGAGGGGGTGGGGCTTGAACTTAGGGCCTATGCTTCGTCACTCAAGGATAGCAATCTATCACTTTGAGCCACAGCTCTACTTCTAGTCTTCTGGTAATTAACTGGAGGTTAATCTCTCGGACTTTCCTGCCCAGGCTGGCTTCAAACTATGCTTCCCAGATCTCAGCTTCCTGTGTAGCTAGGATCACAGGCATGAGCTATCAGTGCCTGGTAGAAGGGTGTTTTTAACTCCATGAAGGTTCCTTCCATTTAGCACGCTGCCTATCAACTCCTGTTACCAAAGGTTAATTTTTTTTTTTTTTTGGTTGGTCATGGGGCTTGAACTCTGAGCCTGGGCACTGTCCCTCAGCTCTTCAGCTCAAGTCTAGTGCTCTACCACTTGAGCCACAGTGCCACTTCTGGGTTTCTAAGTGGTTTATTGGAGATAACAATGTTAGAGACTTTCCTGCTTTGAATCACAATCTTCAGATCTCAGCATCCTAAGTAGCTAGGATTACAGGCATGAGCCACCAGTGCCCGACCAAAGGTTGATTTTATTGCAAATTCCACATTTTGTAAAAATCAATCTTTCCCTCCATCATATCAGCACGAATCTATCAGAAAGCAAAGAAGGTAACTGAAATAGTTCTTTTGGGGTTTCTCCTATCTTTGCAGATAAGAGGAAATTAAAAAAAATTTTTTTTGAGGGTCACAGGGCCTGAACTCAGCCTGGGCCCTATCCTTTGGCTCTTCAGCTCAAGGATAGCATTCTACCACTGGAGCCACAGTGCCACTTCAGAGTTTTTCTGCTTATGTGGTGCTGAGGAATCAAACCCAGGGCCTCAGGCATGCAAGGCAAGCACTCTACCACTGAACCACCTTCCCAGCCGAAGGAAAAAAATTCAACACGTGAGAAAACTCAAATCACTAAGGTGGGTAGGTGGAGGTACAGTTTCCAGATTACAGAACATGTGTCTCCAGTTAAGGGCCCTCAGAAATTGCAGTGTTGGAGGTACAAGGGAAACTTCCATTTTAGTTAGCTTATTTGCAAACTAGATCTTAACACGGTGGCTGATGGCCCCTGGGGCCAAAGTGTGATAAAACCCTTTGGTCCCCTAAGAGGCAGCAAATCATGCTTACCAATGAAATTCCACACTAAGCCCCTAGCGGCCCAGCCTGGGGCCTGGGCAGAGGCCATCAGCTGGGCCCCACTCTGGGTTTGCTGAAATACCCACGTGCATGCTCTATAGTCAGTGGCACAACATAGTCTGAGGATTTTTACTACAGGACCCTCACCAACCCCACCCCCTCCAAATGAGTCATTCCCATTCTAGTGAGACAGAAAAAATCACCTCAAACACTCATCACATTACACGAATAGGACAAGATCAAAGGTGAGTTTTTTCTTTTTACTGGTTTATAATAATCTTAAAAACCCCATCACACCCATAAACCACCACAGGTGAGGTGAGAGATGGAGAATGAATGCTACAGTATGTGGATAGAGTGGAGAATCCAAGGTATTCCCTAGGAGTAGCATGGGATGGAGGCAGGGAGTAAGTGGACAGGAGGTCCAAGTTTGGACCCTTATTGCTGGTTGGGGGTTGGCTGGCAGAGGGGCTCAGGTTTAACTAGGAAACATCTCACACTGAAGGAGAGGGCAGTTAATTGTAGGGTGGGGAAATCACAGTACATTATCCATGCAGACTAGAGGTGGGAGTGAGAGCTTCAGAGACTTGCACCCCTACATAGGAAGAGGTGGTTTTGAGGTTGTTTGAAAGCCCCTAAGTTGGTGTCTTGTCCAGTTTCCTACAGTGGCAGCTCCCCTTTCGGCACTGGGAAAATTACAGTAAGAATATTTGATTATAGAGATCAAGCAAGAAGTAGGGAACATAGTTAAGTGGGAGCTGGAAAGGTCAGGTAAGAGGATAACCAACACCTTGGGAGGAGACAGCACACCAAAAGTTGCAAGGGCTCAGGGACAGGGAGGTACCAGTGTTCACAGACGGCAGGAAAACAATCAGGAACAATAAATTAGGACTTCATGTTGCTATCATTTGGCATAACACAATCAGGCTTTTTTTTTTCTTTTTTAAATATAAGGCAACTTGCCCACACATAATTTAAAAACTGGTCTTCAGTCACATTGCTTCAGATCACTAGAGAATTTCTGGCTAAGGAACAGTGGATAGTAAACAGAACCCAGAATCTTAAAAAATATCAACTCACATTCCCCAGAGACAAGAGGAAAGGTTTAAGGGCTTATTTGGTTTAAGGGGGGAGGGGAATGAGGGGAAAAGCAAACTGAGCCCAACTAGGTATCTTTAACAGAATACAGGTGCAAAAATTTTACAACAAAACATAATCTAAGTTTAAAGTTACACAAAAGTGGATTTCTAGCCAACTGTCACTTGGGAATGAGACGCGTTGGGCATGGAGTGGGTGGAGGATGGTTTTAAAAGTGAGTGAAAGGGAAAGAGGCTATTTCCAATGTAGACTCCTCTCCAGTGGTCAGAATCATGCTCATTTGGTAGAGGAAGAATTAAAGAGCTTAAGGCTTTGTGTTTTTTTCTCCTTTCTTCATTAATTTAGGGGCTGCAAAAGGAGGTGACTAAGGGAATGTACCTGTGGGGCCACTCATACACAATGCTACTCAAACCCACACTACGTTCATACAGAAACATGACATTTAAAACTTACAGTGTACAGCAATATTCTTAGCCAGTGTAGAGAGAACCAAATGCATTTTAACTTTTCCCCCTCCTTTTTTTTTTTTTTTTTTTTTGGTGTTTTTAGTTCCAAACTCCAATGTGATCATCCCTTACCTATCTGATTCCTTCAGTAAGGTAAGGTTTTGTGGGTTTTTTTGTATGTGTGTGATTTTTTTTTTTTGTCTCTTTTGCCTTTTTCTTTTTTTTTTCTTTTCTTTTTTTTTTTTTTGAGGGGGCAGGAGGTAGGGTTGAGGACAGCAGTTAAGCAGGGAGAGGCAACCATGAGTAGGGGATCCTGGTTATGCCAGATGGCCACTACATTTCTCTAGGTCTAGAAGGGAACTTGGGAACCAAGCGGCCAATACAAAGGCAGTTTTTCTCCATGTCTCAAGGGTATGGCCAAATACCTGCAAGATGCCCTTGAGGTGGAGTGTGTGGCAAGGGTAAGTTCTGCCCAGGAAGCAGAATAAATGTAAAACAAAGCCTTGAAAAATGGAAAAGAGCTGGGAGATGAACATTGGGTGAGTTTTGATTTGTCTTTGGGTGAATAAGGAATTAGCTTCCAGAGCACTTTGAAAGTCTGGTAGTTCTTAGTCCCATAGAGAGAGACAGGAAGAGGCCTGCTTTAGGGGCCTTAGTCACACAGTCCTAAGAGAAACAGGCAAAGGTTCAGGGAAAGATAAGAGAGGGCTGGAAAAACATAGCCAAGGTGGAAAGCCTAATAGGCAGGCAGTGGAGAGAAAAGCCTGGGGCTAGGGTTAGGTTCTAACATAAAACAAAAAATTTTCTTGAGGGGATAAGAGGAAGAGGATCCCTTCTACTCCCTGCCAAATGCCCTTCTTTAGTCATCTAAGAATGATCACATTGGAGAAGCAAAACTTTTAAACTACCCAGTTACTTAAAAGTAAGACTAAACCTTGGAGGGTGATGTATGAAGTGTAGCCTGAGGAGGGTACCATGGCTCCCTATCTATACCCTGGGTGCTGAATATGAAGACTTCGACTATCTGTGGGATCAGGAGCACGGGTGGAAGGGGCTCGGTGGGCCTTGCTCAGCATAGCCAGGCTCTGTTCTCGAAAGCAGGCCTGTTGGAAATCCCCACTCAGGTAATCCACCGTTTGCATCAAGCTGTTCTGGCTTGCCACTGGACCACCCCCAGTCCCTGCTCGGTAATGAGCCCCAGGAGCTGCTGCACAGTCGAGGGGTGCACCTGTGGGCTGCCCACCATGAAATGGCATGGCGAGGTCCTGAGACCCCGAGCTGTCGCTATTGGGAGTGGGAAGAATGTTGTTCCACAGGGGTTGGAAGTAGTGACCATTGGGGTAGGCCAGTGGGGCTGCCAGGCCATTGACTGGTGGAGATGGGGTTGGCTTCTCCAGAGTTGGCTTCAGATGGAAGGACTGTGCCAGGCAGAGTTCCTGCGGGTAGGTAGGGGCCTTGCCCACAAAGCCAGTCCCTGCCAACTCACGTCCTGCTGCATGCTTGCCTGTCAGGCCAGGGGCTGGTGTTCCACCAGCCTCGGTGCACATATGTTGTAGGTGGGCCAGCTGATGCTGGTTCCAGGTGACTGGCTTGAGATCGCTAGGGTAGCCAGTGGGGGCTCGAGAGATGCCCGCAGGAAGGTTGACAGGACCTGTGGCAGGCAACGCGGCTGTGGCTGCATGGGTGTGCTCCATGGGATTGACCACACATGAAGGCATTGGTGTGGGGATGCTGTGGGTCGACACCCGGGTACTTGCATTGATGAGCAGACTGCGACTAATAGGGCTGGGGTTGGCGATCTGGCCCTCACACACTGAGGTAGTGCTGATGCCTGCCCTCGTCTGGCAAAACTGGTTGATCTGGTGTACAATGCTGCTCAGGTCCGGGGGCTGGCTGTGCTGCAGGGTGGCCGCCATTGAAAGGGGAATAGTTGAGGTAGACACGGTCACATTCGGGGGAGCATCTGAGTCTGGCATCTTCCGGCCTCCATGAAGCAATGGATTGGAGGGGTGCTGGAGACCTTGGTGAGCCAGGGCCTGTGGGTGGACTAAGCCCTGGGTTTGAGCCATGGGCTGAGGGTGGCCCAGGCCCTGAGGCTGCTGGAGGCTCTGAGGGTGAGACAGTGCCTGTGGTGGCGGGATACCCTGAGGGTGCTGCAGCGTCTGGGGAGGGGCATGGGCCAGGGTCTGTGCATGCTGCAGGGCCTGCTGGCGGGCCAGAGCCTGGGCCTGGGGGTGGGCTAAAGTGCTGGGTGCCACAGTAGCATAGGGTGCCACTGGTGGGTTCATGATGGCCTCAGGGAGTAACCGGGCTCGGGTGCCGTCAAAGTCCTTGAGTATACTTTTGGCTGGCACTTTGACAATAGCAAGCAGGCCTGCCTTGGTGGCAGCCTGAGTCGGGTAGGGGCTGTAGCGCTGGGCTGATGTGTCGAGGCCGTTCACAGTACGACGAACGTGTTTCCTCTGGGGAACCTTCACACTGTTGGGGAAGATTTTTATAGTCAGTGGGTTGTTTGCGACCTTCTTAGCATACGCGTCCAATTCGGCTGGGGTAGGATAGTGAGCAGTTCTCATTTTCTGTGTAGTGTCCCCTAGAGAGAGAGAGAGAGAAAGAGAGAGAGAGGGAGGGAGAAAGAGAGGGAGGAAGGAGAGTAGAGAGGGAGCTCATCAGTGCCAAGCCAACCAGGCCTACTAGAGTCCTCTGTTGAGGGCCTGGGGAGTGGTGGTAGGGGACTGGCCAGTCATCTATAGCCTTTGTTCTTGGTCCAGCCTCAGACCCCATAATCACATGCAGTGCTGACAACCACTAAGTATGTATAGTGGGCCAGGCTCTCTTCACTACTGCAAGGATTATCATGAGCCCCATTTTTATAAATGAGGTTACTAAGGATCAAAATGGCAGAGCAACTTTCCAAGTCCTATATCTGTATCCTGCCCATTTCTCAAAGGTAACCAACAGTTTCTTTTGCTATATGGAACTGGTAAGTTCCTACTAGCCCAAGCTGGGGTGGAAGTGGAAAGTTCTAAATAGAGCTGCATGTCAAAGCCCTTGGCGGCTACTCAATCCGTTCCTTGGACCCTCTGGTAAAGAAGGTCCCCAGAGTTACTACTCTTCAGTCTCCAGTGGCCAGTGAGGCATCAGCATTTCTTGTGTCTTGGCAGCTGCAGTGCATGACCATGAGTGGACATGCCCAGCTGGCACAGTGAATAGGACATTTCTTTCTCAGGAGAGGAGGAAGAAGCTGCCAACATCTCTCCCCATCCCCAATTTACTTTTGTTTACAGTTTACTCAGTGCCTGACAGGGTGGAGATCAAAAGGCTTTTTATTTATTTGCCTGTGTGGAGGGAGGGTGATAATAAATAACAGGACAGAAGGGAGAGAATTGAGAAGGAGTCAGAACATCTTTAAGGTCTAGGAGCCAAAAATAATCTGTATTTGGTCCATGTCAGCTGTCATTTTCAAAAACCTGCCTTCCTTTGGAGACTGCGGAAATGCCCATTCCATGGGCCTCATTAATGTTAACAGTCTCTTTGTTCTCTTCTCCCGGTGCCTCCCATCAGGGGGCTCCAGCGGATGTCGGGCTTCCAGTCAAAAAGGAAAAGATTCCCAGAACAAGAGTTCTTTAAGGAGGTAGGGCTCTTGTAAGGGGTCACTTCTTAGTTCTAGCTCTCTCAGAGGAGGGGTCTACCCTGCATATACACAAAAGGTGTTTAATAAATGCTTGCTGAATGAGTAAATACACAGACTGCCCAAAGCACAAGTGGCTTGGCTGAAAGCCTGGACTCAGCTAGCTGACTTCCTCCCTTGCAAACACAGCCAGGATAGATAGACCGACCAAGGACTAATTTGCTGAATGCCCAGCTGGTAGTCTCAGCTGGCTACAGCCCAAAGGAGACCCCATTCAAAGTCACATCACTGAGAATCAACTTAGTGAGTGTGCTGGAAGGCAACAGGGCACAGCTGCCTGTATTTGGTGACATTACTGGCTAGCTGGCAGCAACTGCTTAGAAACTGCTGCTGCTCTCTGAAGCAGGAAAGAAAAGCTCAAGTCCAGGAAGGGCAGAGAGATTTGGTCTCATGCTAAAAAAGGCAGACCTGAGCAAAAAGGAAACATATATAAAGGAAAAAGCCAGTGCTTCTATATATTAGCGCAATGACTATTCTTAGTAAATATTCCAACAAGGACCTGCTTTATTTGCTGATTACAGAATAGATGTTTATACATAAATGTCTGTGAAACGTGATTCAGGAAGGTCTTAAAAAGATGAATATGAGCCAGGCACTGATAGCTTGAGCCTATAATCTTAGCCACGCAGGAGGCTGAGATCTGAGAACTGCAGTTCAAAGCCAGCCTAGGCAGGAACATCTGTGAGATTCTTATCTCCAATTAACCACCTAAAAACTAAAAGTAGCATTGTGGCTCAAGTGGAAGAGTGTTAGCCTTGAGCTGAAGAGCTCAGGGCCAGCGCCCAGGCCCAGAGTTTAAGCCCCACAACCGAAAAAACAAAAACAAACAAAAAAAAAGAATATGATGGTGAGAGCTGAGGGCATGAAGAAGGGAAACATAGAAGACCAGAAATCTCCTATTACTATGTACAACTGTGTGATCCGAATCGAAGTGCAGCTTGAATTTTACCATTTCTTTTTTTTTTTTTTTGGGCCAGTTATGGGGCTTGAACTCAGGGCCTGGGTGTTGTCCCTCAGCTCTTCAGCTCAAGGCTAGTGCTCTACCACTTGAGCCACAACGCCACTTCGGCTTTTTCTGCTGATGTGGTGCTAAGGAATCAAACCCAGGGCCTCATGTATGTAAGGCAAGCACTCTACCACTAAGCCAACTTCCCAGCCCAAATTTTACCATTTCTTATATAACAGTGATCCTTAATGGGCTTTCGCTATCACAAGGTAAACCTATTTTCTGGCCTTTCTTACATTCTTCTGAGAAAGATTAAAAACAAAGCCGGGCGCTGGTGGCTCACGCCTATAATCCTAGCTACTAAGAAGGCTGAAGTCTGAGGATCACAGTTCAATGCCAGCCCAGGCAGAAAAGTCCGTGAGACTCTTATCTCCAATTAACCACTAGAAAACTGGAAGTGGCAGTGTGGCTCAAACGGTAGAGCGCTTGCCTTGAGTTGAAGAGCGCATGGATAGTGCCCAAGCCCAGAGTTCAAGCCCCACGACCAACAAAAAACAAACAAACAAACAAAAAAAACCCAAGGTGCTGGTGGACTCTCGCCTGTAACCCAAGTTACTCAGGAAGCTGAAATCTGAGGATTATGAAGCCAGCTGGGCAGAAAAATCCTTAAGACTCCAATTAACCACCAAAATGCCTGAAGTGGAACTGTGGATAGCCAGGCACCAGTGGCTCATGCCTGTAATCTTAGCTACACAGGAGGCTGAGATCTGAGAATGGTGGTTCAAAGCAAGCCTGGTCAGGAGCAGGAAGATCCATGAGAGTCTTATCTCCAATCAGCCACCAGAAAACGGACGTGGTGCTATGGCTCAAGTGGTAGAGTGCTAGCCTTGATCTGAAGAGCTCAGGGCCAGCACCCAGGCCCAGAGTTTAAAACCCACAATTGACCTCCTCCCAAAAATAAATCCCAGGGACAAAACAAAAACAAAACAGAAAACAACAAAAAACCTAGAACAACACCAACAGGTTTGAGATTTTTGAAAGCTAATTCCTAAATCTCAACTCAGTATTCCAACAGAAGCTCCCTTGTCAGCCATTATACTTAAGTGTGTGGTCAGAATCACAGGCTAACATAGGGCTTTATCCAGAGCAGATACTTGATAAGTGCTATTAATTCAGTTCTGCCAACTGAACAATCAATGGGACAACTGAGTTGTCAAACTGAGATGGTGAGTTTTACTTCTTCAGAGAGGAAACGCATGTCTGCTATCTGGGTTCTATAGCCCATGTCTATGTTAGCAGTCTTCTCTGCTTGAAATCCAAGCAGGAGACTGTGGTACAGTCAGTGGCTTATTGAATACAAAAGTTTCTTTGTTCCAAGGCCGTACTGACTCTCAATTTTTTTTTTTTTCCTAGCAGAGGCATAAGGGCCTGGGTACTGTCCCTTAGCTTTTTTGCTTATTGGAAATAAGAGTCTAACAGAAGGCTGGGAAGGTAGCTCAATGGTAGAGTGCTTGCCTTGAATACATGAGGCCCTGGGTTCGATTCCTCAGTACCACATAAGCAGCAAAAGCCAGAAGTGGCACTGTGGCTTAAGTGGTAGAGCACTACCCTTGAGCTGAAGAGCTGAGTGACAGCACCCAAGCCCAGAGTTCAGGCCCGTGACCAACCCCCCCCCCCCCCAAAAAAAAAAAAAAAACAACAACAAAAAAAGTTGCATAGACTTGCCTGCCTGGGCTGGCTTACAAATCCTCAAATCTCAGCCACCTGAGTAGCTAGGATTATAGGCGCCAGCTCATAGGAACCTGGTTTATTTATGACTTTTCATGCTTTTACTACTAAATATACTTTATCAAAAGCACACACACAAAAAAATAAACTCATCTACTTAAATATCTGGTACACAGTGTCCACAGAGGTAAGGCAGCATAGAGAATATGGAGTATATGGCTAGGGAAAATAGATCTAGAGTAGAGCTTTATCATCTGCCTAGTGAGTCTGGGTCATTCCTCATTCATCAGCAGAAACAGTATCTGCTCTCTTACTACCAAGATCAAGAGATTCAAGGAACAGGAGAATACTTCGTGAACACAGACCATGACTCTGAGAGGCATTTAAGAATAGCAGTATTGGGCCAGGCGCTGGTGGCTCACGCCTGTAATCCTAGCTACTCAGGAGGCTGAGATCTGAGAATCGCGGTTCAAAGCCAGCCCGGGCAGGAAAGACGGTGAGATTCCTATCTCCAATAAACCACTAGAAAACCGGAAGTGGTGCTGTAGCTAAAGTGGTAGAGCGCTGGCCTTGAGCTGAAGAGCTGAGGGACAGCGCCCAGGCCCAGAGTTCAAGCCCCATGACCGACCAAAAAAAAAAAAAAAAAAAGAATAGCAGTATTGGCTAAGTCTGCACATATATGAGACAAAGAAATCAGATTAAAAAAAAAAACCAACTGTAAGCTCTTGGCCTTAAGGTAAATGTAACTTAAATATGACTCAAGTCAAATGAGAGTTAGAGGTAGCAGGAAGCACTATTGTTTGTCTGTGGACGAAGGAAAAAAAATTCCAGAATCTTATCTTCCCCAGACTTGCCTGCTTTTCCTTTTATTTTGAAAGTCAGAATACATGGGTAGCATATTCAATGTATTATAAATATAAGCTTCAGAGTTTGATCTAAATGTGAGTTCCAGCTCAGTTAGTGCTGAACAATCGTGTGACACAGTTAAGAGACAAACCCTCTATGCCTCATTCATACAATGACACTTGCTAGCAGTCCTAGTTACTTCAAAAGCTGAAGCACAGAGGATCGACTTAGCCTAGAAGTTTGAGAACAGCCTGGCCAATGTAGTAAGATCAAAACTCAAAAAGACAAAACAAACACGAACATATGGAAGGTAGTGGGTACCAGCAGGAGAAGGGGAGCTAATAAGGGTGTAAAAGATGAATATAGTAGTACTTTTTTTGCATGCATGAAAATAGAATGAAACTGCTGAAATTGTTTTCAGGAGGTAAGGAGGAAAGTGGTACATGGGGTGAGGTTGACTGGGATACAGTATATGCATGTGTAAAAATGTTACAAGAGAAATCCCTTTGTATAGCTAATGTATGCAGATAAACATAACATTCAACACAGTGCCTGATACATGGCATGTACTCCATTGTTAGCTATTACTACGATTTTATCCAATCATAGGGTCAATTCAACATTTCCATACCCTTCCACCACTAGGGGGCAGACAGGTATCTAAAGAAGTAGTAAACAATCATTTCAGCATTTGTCCAGGACACTCCTTCAAAGGCCACTTGAAAGAGTCAAAGTGGTCATCTAAAAGTCGGTGTGACACTAGGACATGGCTCAAGCAATAGAGCACTTGCATATCAAGTATGAGGCTGAGTTCAAACCACTGTTACTGCCAAAAAGAAAAGATGATGAGGACTAAGAAACCTTAAATATTTCAGCCATTTATATGGTGAATATCTGGTAAGTCATTACTACATATCTGAGGCTAAGCCATGGAAATAAGTAAAGGTTCAAAGTAAAGGAAGAAAAAATGTCTGGGGTATTGGGAGAAGATGGGCCAGAAAAACAACAAATTTCTAAGTACATAGTTACAAAACGGCTGAAGGTTCTCAAAAATAAGCGACATAGGGCTGGGAAGGTGGCTCAGTGGTAGAGTACTTGCCTTGCATGCCTGAGGCCCTGGATTCAATTCCCCAGCACCACATAAGCAAAAAGAAAAAAAGCCGGAAGTGGCGCTGTGGCTCAAGTGGTAGAGCACTAGCCTTGAGCTGAAGAGCTGAGGGACAGTGCCCAGGCCCAGAGTTCAGGCCCCATGACCGGACCAAAAAAAAAAAAAAAGCGACATCATGGCTTGTGTGCAATGTAGAAAAGTTCTAGAAGGTCTGGGATGCGGCTCAAGTGGTAAAGTATCTAACAAGGACAAGACCCTGAGTCCTAAACTCAAGTACTGCTCCCAAAAAGCTCTAGCAGGGTATCCACCTAACCCAACCTGTTTATGTCTAGTTATAGAGCCTACCCAAAGCCAAGATGATTTGGGGACTTGCTATGTAGCTTAGGTTGGCCTGTAATTATGTTCCTACAGCCTAAGCTTCCTGAGTGTTGGGATTGCTGGTGTGGGCCACCATGCTTGTCAGAAGGCTTTTCCTTTTTATATCACACCTCTGGAGGAAGGTGTCAGAGTATGTTAAAGAATATAGAAGTAAGCCGGGCGCTGGTGGCTCACGCCTATAATCCTAGCTACTCAGGAGGCTGAGATCTGAGGACTGAGGTTCAAAGCCAGCCCGGGCAAGAAAGTTCGTGAGACTCTTATCTCCAATAAACCCGCTAGAAAACTGGAAAGGGTGCTGTGGCTCAAGTGGTAGAGTGCTCGCCTTGAGCTGAAGGGCACAGGGACAGCGCCCAAGCCCAGAGTTTAAGCCCCAAGACCGACCAAAAAAAAAAAAAAGTAAGAATATAGAAGTAAAACATCAAGCTTCTCTCCTTGTGTTATTGTATATTTCCAAGTATATTTCCTCTCTCATTTTGTTTGTAGAAGCAAAAGCTAGATACAATGTAATGTGCTGAATGTATGTGTATGTGGGAGAGTGTAGGTAGGCGGGTTAGGCTGAGATGAGAAAGTATGGCATAGCAGAAAGAATTTGCTTACTGTGTCAGTAAGCCAGATATAGAAGATGGTCACTTCAGCCTTGAATGTTCAGAGTTAGATTCATCAGACAAACCGAATTACAGGACAAGCTAGGTTATGGGTTTTCTGCTCTCTCAAGAAATTTTTTTTTTTTGGTCAGTCCTGGGGCCCGAACCTTGAGCCTGGGGGCTGTCCTTCAGCTCTTCAGCTCAACTCTAGCACTCTACCACTTGAGCCACACTACCGCTTCCAGCTTTTTTCTTATGTGGTGCTGAGGAATTGAACCCAGGGCCTCATGCATGCAAGGCAAGTACTCTACCACTGAGCCACCTTCCCAGCCCCCAGGTGGCTTTTCCTGCTGTAGTACTGGGATCTGAACTCAAGGCCTTGTGCTTACTTTGAGCCATACCTTCTAGCCTGAAGCTAGATCACTATTTTTTTTTTTTTTTTTGGGTCCAGTTGTGGGGCCTGAACTCTGGGTCTGGGCGCTGTCCCTCAGCTCTTTAGCTCAAGGCTAGCACTCTACCACTTGAGCCACAGCGCCACTTCCAGCTTTGTTTTTTTTGCTTATGTGGTGCTGAGGAATCGAACCCAAGGCCTCAGGCATGCAAGGCAGGCGCTCTACCACTGAGCCACCTTCCCAGCCCACTAGATCACTTTTTTATTTTTATTTATTTATTTTTTTTGGGGGGGGGGGGTCCGGTAGTGGGGCCTGAACTCTGGGCCTGGGCGCTGTCCCTCAGCTCTTCAGCTCAAGGCTAGTGCTCTACCACTTGAGCCACAGCGCCACTTCCGGCTTTTTTCTTTTTGCTTATGTGGTGCTGAGGAATCGAACCCAGGGTCTCAAGCATGCAAGGCAAGTGCTCTACCACTGAGCCATCTTCCCAGCCCTCCCCCCCCTTTTTTTTTAGATCACTTTTTTAATGGTTGATGATCTCACAGAATAAGAGTTGCACTAAGTTCAGCTGCTGTGTGGGAATTTTTTTGTTGTCATTGTTTTTTTGTTGGTCCTGGGGCTTAAACCAAGGGCCTGGTGCGCTGTCCTTGAACATTTCTGCCCAAAGCTAGTGACGTGAGTCATAGCTCCACTTCTGGCTTTTTGGTGGTTAATTGGAGTCTCATAAACTTTACTGCCCTAACTGGCTTTGAATGGCAGTTCTCAGATCTCAGCCTCCTAAGTAGCTAGGATTATAGGCATGAGCTACCAGCTCCTGATTTGCTGTGTGGTTTTGTAAGAAATTTAATTGGAATATTACACTTACTTGTTTACATGTTGGCTCCCTTTGTCCTAGAGTCAAATAGATGCAATAGAGGCAGTGTGCACTTACATAAAGCTAACAATATCTACTATCTGGAATTTACAGAAAAAATTTGCTGGGGCTGGGAAGGTGGCTCAGTGGTAGAGTGCTTGCCTTGCATGCATGAGGCCCTGGGTTCGATTTCTCAGCACCACATAAGCAGAAAAAGCCGGAAGTGTGGTGTGGTTCAAGTGGTAGAGTGCTAGCCTTGAGCTGAAGAGCTGAGGGACAGCACCCAGGCCCAGAGTTCAGGCCCCACAACCAACCCAAAAAAAAAAAGTTTGCTAATGCCTGTCATGAAGGATTTAAATAACGTGCTAAGGCATTTTGTCTGACTAAAGGAAAATTTCACTGCTCCATTGATTCCCCCTTTGCTCTGAAAGGATATTCTCTTGCTATTTCTGGGCCATTTTATACATAAAGATACAAAATATGTAGTAATGAGCCAGGAATAGAATATTTTCCTTGCATATCATGTCATATGAGGATAGAATGCAATAATCTGAGAAACTGTGAACTATATTATGTTCCAACTCTAGCCAATTAAGACAGGAATCTTACACAGTTCTCAAAGGCTCAATCTTGTGGGAAATACATTGGCAGGTAAATGCCCAGAGAGCCTAAGAGAGCTAGTTCCCAATTCTTCTGAGGGTAAAAGCTCCTTTACTTTCTGTGAACTGAAGCCAACTGGCTCAAAAGACAGACAGTAATACCAAAGGGAATTATTCCCATGGTAGAACATGGTATAGTTTTAGAGACACAGTTTAACTAGAATATGAGTCTTCATCCAGTTCTTCAAACTGTAGTGCCTTTTCTTTTTGTGCTGGTACTGGGGCTTCAACTCAGGGTCTGGACACTGTCTCTTAGCTCTTTCACTTAAAGCTGGTGCTCTACCATGTAAGCCATTGCTCTACTTTTTTGGTGGTTAACTGGAGATAAGTCTCACTAAATTTTCTGTGTGGCCCAGCTTGGAACCAAGGATTACAGGCATGAGTCACTAGTACCCAGCTATGTTGCAGCACCTTTTGAAGGGTGGTGGTGTAGTGTGTGTGTGTGTGTGTGTGTGTGTGTGTGTCCTCTAAAGTTCTGTGTGTGTGTGTCTCTCCTCTAAAGTTCCTTGTCTTATAGTTCTTTTGCTTAACAGAAAGCTACTACCAGTAATTAAAGTGAAGATCATATACATTAAGGATTTGGAGTATTAAAGAGATTTTGATCACAAAAGTACCTCACATTGCTGACAGGTTGGGCCTTTGCAGCTGCTTTCCTGCTGTCCCTCTATATATGCTTCATATACCTCGAAGGTAGCAAAATTCAGGATTAATGTTCCCAGATGTATTCTGGGATGGCCTACATGTAGGCACAAACAAAAGAATCATACATCCTTCCTTGGGAATCTAAATGACTTACATTTCTGAAGTCCAGTGTTCATCTGCGTGTGAGAAAGAAGCTGAAAGGACAGGTCACCTGGCCCTGGTAGACAGGCTAGCATGGCACACCAGCATCAACACAACATGGGGCTCACACTGTAAAGAACAAAAATAAAACAGGGTCATACAATAAGGCAACTCATTCAAAAAAGACATTTGGAACATTAGGTATGAGCAGGCTAGGTCCACATTTAAGCAAATAAACAATTTAATTAGCAGCACACTGGTTTGACAATATATGTACATCTTGTATGGTAGTATGTCTCTATAATCCCAGCACTTGGGAAGCTAAAACAGGAGGATTGTGAATTCAAGGTCAGACTGGGCTACATAGCAAGTTTTAGAGCAACCTGGAATATATATAAGAAGACTTTCTTTTTTTCTTTTTCTTTTTTTTTTGGTCAGTCGTGGGACTTGAACTCTGGGCCTGGGCGCTGTCCCTCAGTTCTTCAGCTCAAGGCGAGCGCTCTATCACTTGAGCTACAATGCCATTTCTGGTTTTCTAGTGGTTTTTATTGGAGATAAGAGTCTCACAGACTTTCCTGCCTGGGCTGGCTTTGAACCGTGATCCTCAGATCTCAGCCTCCTGAGTAGCTAGAATTACAAGCGTGAGCCACCGGCGCCCGGCATAACAAGACTTTTCAACAACCATTACTATAGCTAAAATGATATTCCAGTCAGCATAGTTGTATGGGTAGGAGAAATAAAAATTGGCAAATGAATATTCATACAAATTATTGAAAAATACAGGTGTATTTGTGAAGCTTGAACATACTTAAAAGTATACTGCCCTAGGGGCTGGAAACGTGGCTTAATGGTAGAATGCTTGCCTAGGATGCATGAAGCCCTAGGTTTGATTCCTCAAATATTCCTCAGTACCACATAAACAGCAAAAGCTGGAAGTGGCGCTGTGGCTCAAATGGCAGAGCATTTTGAGTACAGAAAGGCTCAAAGACAGTGCCCAGGCTCTGAGTTCAAGCAACAGGATGGACAGAAAACAAAAACAAAACAAAACAAACACTGGCCTTTGTAGGACCTAGCTCAGTCCATTTAAAATCCTGGTTGGAGGCTAGGGAAGTCAGACATTTCTAGAGGCACTTTAGTATATGAATTATAATGGTGTACTGACTTGCGATCAAGAAATTTGAATGCATTCCTCCCCTTGGCCTCTTGTTATGTAGTTCAGGCTGGCCTTAACCTTATAGTTAAATCTTGGGGTTACAGGCATATATTCCCAAACCTGGCTCATTAAATTTGTATGTGTGTGCACACCAGTGCTAAGACTTCAGCCTCAAGGTCTGCCTTAGTTTTCTCACTCAGTCCTAGTGCTCTATCACTGTATCTCTACTTCCAGCTTTTCTGCTAGTTAATTGGACCTTAAGATTTTCTTGGATTTGTCTGTCCTTGCTGGCTTCAAACTGTGATCCTCAGATCTTTTTTATTTTTATTTCGTTGGTTGTGGGGCTTGAACTCTAGGCTTGGGCAATGTCCCTGCACTCTTCAGCTCAAGATGAGCGCTTTACCACTTGAGCCACAGCGCCACTTCTGGTTTTCTACTAGTTTTACTGGAGATAAGAGTCACATGGACTTTCCTGCCCAGGCTGGCCTTGAACCATGATCCTCAGATCTCAGCCTCCTGAGTAGCTAGATCCTCAGATTTTATTCTCCCAAATACCTAGGATTATAGGAATTGAGCCACCAAAACCTAGCAAGGGTCTCATTTGACATGTCCATATATTCACACAAAGTTCCTTGATCAGACTCACCCCTTCATCATTGCCCATATCCCCTGAACTTGCTTTTAAAATGAAGACGTTGCAAAGCATTCTACAAGGTGTAATTACTTCTCCTTGATACAGGTTCTTAGTATGTAAGCCCAGGAAGACCTTGGTACTATTTTTTTTTTCTTTTTTTGCTTATGTGGTGCTGGGGAATCGAACCCAGGGCCTCATGCATGCTACCACTGAGCTACCTCCCCAGCCCCGACCTTGGTACTATTAATCCCTCCCAAATACTGGACTTACAGGCCTCTGCCACCTCACCTTGGCTACAAGTAACAATTTTCCTATTTGTACTTTTTTTTTTTGGCCAGTCTTAGGGCTTGAACTCGGGTCTAGGCACTGTCCCTGTCCCTAAGCTCTCCCCCCTCTGCCCCCACCGCCCCTGTCGGTCATGGGGCTTGAATTCTGGGCTTGGGCACTATCCCTGTGTTCTTCAGCTCAAGGTGAGTGCTGTACCGCTTGAGCCTCAGCACCACTTCCAGTTTTCTAGTGGTTTATTGGAGATAAGAGTCTCACAGACTTTCCTGCCCAGACTGACTTTGAACCATGATCCTCAGATCTCGCCTCCAAGTAGCTAGGTCGCTAAGCTTCTTTTGCTCAAGGATAGATAGCACTCTACCACTTGAGCTACAGCACTATTTGTAGCTTTTTCTGTTTATGTGGTACTGAGGATCGAACCCAGGACTTCATGTATACTAGGCATGAAGCACTCTACCACTAAGCCACATTCCTAGCTCCTATTTATACATTTTAAGGAATTAAAAGAATTCAATTTTCTCACTGCCTATTAAACAATTAAGACTTCCTGGACTCTTAGCTGGGCACTGGTAGTTCTCACCTGTAATCCTAGTTACACAAAACGTTGAGATATGAAGATTGCAGTTCAAAGCCAGTCAGGACAAGAAAGTCCATGAGACTTTTATCCTTTTATCTCTAATTAACCACCTGAAAGCCAAAAATGGAGCTGTGGGATCAAGTTGTAGAGTACTAGCCTTCGGGGGGGGGGGGGGGGGGGGGGTGGAGAGATGGAGAAGATGATAAAAAACACTCAGAGAGGGGCTGGGAAGGTGGCTCAATGGTAGTGCGCTTGCCTTGCAAGCATGAGGCCCTGGGTTCGATTCCTCAGCACCACATAAGCAAAAAAGAAAAAAGCCGGAAGTGGCACTGTGGCTCAAGTGGTAGAGCGCTAGCCTTGAGCTGAAGAGCTGAGAGACAGCGCCCAGGCCCAGAGTTCAGGCCCCACGACCGGACCCCCCCCAAAAAAAACAAAAACACTCAGAGACTGTGCCCAGTCCAAGCCCCAGGACTGGCACACACACTGACACACCCACATACACATACCCACACACACTCCTGGACAACCCCCCCCCCCCCCACACACAAAAAACAGCAGCTCTTTTTTTTTGGGGGGGGGGGGGGTCCAGTTGTAGGGCCTGAACTCTGGGCCTGGGCGCTGTCCCTCAGCTCTTCAGCTCAAGGCTAGCGCTCTATCACTTCAGCCACAGCACCACTTCCAGCTTTTCTCTTTTTGCTTATGTGGTGCTGAGGAACTCAGGCATGCAAGGCAAGCGCTCTACCACTGAGCCACCTTCCCAGCCCACAGCAGCTCTTTGTATAGATGAATTTAACCAGTGATATTCACACAAACCCCTGCTGTTGCAAAGAAGTCCTGCAATAATGTAAGCTCCCTTTGTAGCAGAAACAATCTTCTCAAATAAGTAGAATATAGTAAAATGTATGAATTTCCTTCCCAATGCTGCAAAACCTACAAATCAAGGTTCCATGTTAGAACTTTAGATCATAACAAAGGAGTGAAGGAAAAGCTCAAATGTTAAAGACCACAAAACCTCTTTATTTCGTTTAGAGAGCTTTGTTGGATATGTGAAACAACCTCAAAATGATGAGTATCTCAGAGTTCCAGCTTTAAGGATCAGGTACCTGAAAAGATACTTTGTAAAAGAGGCTGCTTATACTGTGTCTAAGATAGTACTTTCAGGAAAAGAACAAAAGAATGAATACCTCAGTGAAAATAGAACTGCTTTGGAGTTCTGGCAGATTGAATCTTTTTAGGTCTCTAGTGGATGGGACAACAGAATGAACACAGTGTGCCCAATACAATGCAACAAGAAATAAAATCAAGGGCTGGGAAGTTGGCTCGGTAGTAGAGCGTTTGCCTTGCGTGCATTAGGCCCTGGGTTCGATTCCTCAACACCACATAAGCAGAAAAAGCTGGAAGTGGTGCTATGGCCCCAGTTGTTGAGCACGAGCCTTGAGCTGAAGAGCTGAGGGACAGCGCCCAGGCCCAGAGTTCAGGCCCCATGACCAACAAAATAAATAAATAAATAAATAAAAATGAAGTCAAATGATCAAGGTTGTGCTTACAATCTGTTCCCTTATAAATGCTGGTCTCTTATTTAATAACCTCTCAATTACCACCCTAATATATAGCTCAGGGCATAATCCAGTAAAGGAGAGGAGGTATCAAATCCAGTGTTGTATAGTAGAAAAATTTTGGTTAATGACACTGTCATATGGTCTATAATGGAAGCTAGATGCTGGTGGTTTACCACCTGTAATCCTAGCTACTCAGGAGGCTGAGATCTGAGGATCAAGGTTTGAAGCAAACACAGGGAGGAAAGTCTGTGTGAGATTCTTATCTCCAATTAATCACCAGAAAACTGGAAGTGGTTCAGAAAAGCTCAGGGATAATGCCCAGGCTCCCAGTTTAAGCCCCACAACCACCACCACCACTACCAACAACAACAAAGAGATCTATAATGGAGCTGGAAATTTTGCTTTTAGGTAGTATTTTGGTTTTGTTTCTGTTTTTTTGGCCAGTCGTGGGGCTTGAACTCTGGGCCTGGGTACTGTCCCTGAGCTTTTTCACTCAGTGCTAGGGCTCTACCACTTTGAGCCACAGTGACACTTCCTTGCCTAGTATTTTCTTTTTAAACTGCAACAATGTATTTATTGGAAATGAATTTAACATGACATTAATCTGATACAGATGCAAAATATATGGAGTATAGTTGATGTAACATGTTTAAGAGTCACAAATGAAACAGAAAAACTGACTTTCAAGAGAAAAGAAGACTGAGTCGCCTTCATCTCTGAACACCATGATGCAATTCATAATGTTGATCCTAAACATCCAGAATAAAGTTGAAACTGAGTTTCAGAAAGAAAAAGTGACCTTCCCCAACTTGAAGACTCACTGGCTAATACCTGTGTATCACATCCATAAGGCAAATTCCATTTTACTCTGTGATAAGAAGACAGTATTTCTCCTATTGATAGGGAATTTAAAAACCTCTG